GATGAGTTTTCTCAACGAAGAGCGACTTTTCTCAGCTAATTAATGACCTGTCCCCCAATCCCCCCACCCCCCTGCAGCAGTTAGGAATTTCCAGTTTTCCCCAATGAGGTTTCTTATTTTCACCTTCATCTACTGTTCTCCATCTTCCACACTCGCGTCTCTTTAGGATCTCTCAGGAAGGAGCTCTTTAACGGAGCGGAATTTCCGGCCAGTGCCTTTCTGACGCCCGGGCACATTTTGCAAAACGCAGGAGCCAAGTCCAGACTGCAGCAAAACTTCCCCAGATCAGGAAACAACCCCCTTTACAAGACCCCTCCTGCAGCCTCTGCAGACACCAGGCCTATTTAACGATGCAGCGATTTTGTTTTAATTACACCTTCACGCCTTTCGGACGCTCTGCCTCGGGAATGCTCCCCTGATCCACTCTGCGTGTTCATTTGCATTGCAAAGGCGAGACTGCTGAAACCAATTAGCGCCCGCCACTTTGAGCGCAAAACAAAGCCAGGATTATGGACGTCTTTTTGGAAAGCGGGATCGGAGCTTGGATTCAGGAGCTGCAAATCTCGGTTTTACCACTCCTACCGCGCTGTCAAAATCTAAAAACAGATCAAGCAGCCAAGGGAAAAGCGTGCTCCAGACAGTCCGTTTAAAAGGGTCTTCAGAGCTGTCCAAACTTGTTCTGTGCAGTATTTTCCGAAGGGCCCCAAGCTGATTATCTCCCTAACAGGCACGGGGGAGTTCGGTCAGACTAATCTACATATTCCGGCTCCCCGCTGGGTAAATTCAACACAGAAATCCCACCAACCCCACCCCCGCCACAACTCAACAGGAGCAACAAGCAGTGGAACAGCCCGTATTTAAAAGCCTTCCTTTTTTATCCTGTTGTTTTTGCCATTTTTTCCGCAGGGTGGACGACCTCGTGACGGGACACTTTAAACTCAGTTTCTCCTGGCCCTTCTCTCCTCAGCCCAGCCCTGGACAGCTGCCCACCCCCTCAGCTCCACTATTCCGCCCGTGTTTGAGGCAGCTAGAAACGAACTGGAGTTTTAACTGAAATTGCAGCTGGGAGACAGCATTTTCCCTTTTCTCTTCCCGGCCGATCGGAGAGAACATCTCTGGAGCTCTACAGCGGGATCGAGGCTTTTCCCAGCTCCTGGTCAGGGCAGAGCCGGGCGGACACTGGCAAGCTGGGAGCAGCAGACAGGACTGCATCCCCCAGACCCTCCCCAGATACGGAGGTACGCATGTTGACGCCTGCTGGAAGATCAACGCCCGTTTTGGTTGAAGCCAACATTTCAATTTCTGGTCAAATTCCCTCCGTTTTTTTTTTGTTAAAGAGCCGAGGGGAAACAAAACAAATATCTGCATGCTGGAGAACGCAAATAAAAGTCACCCCACAAACCCCCTTTCTCCCGCCACTAGCTTCACGGAGGCGTGCAGAGCTGGGGGAAAATGTATCAGACTGCACAGGTCCGCTTCTGTCCCACACAGGGGTCCAGGTGGGCACGTCACTTAACCCAGGGCCCGAACCTCTCTTCTCGTGCCCAGGACGATACCCAGAACCCCCCCCGGCACACATCCTGCCCTTCAGCTCCCCCACCCAAGAGGGGCTGGGGGGGGGGGTTCCCCGTGAGGCGCTCTTTTGTTCAGAATGGGGCCCGGAAGCACATGGCGGGCGCCCTGGAGCCCCCCTGGACCCTCACAGAGGCTGGGCTCTTTCTGAGCTCGTCACCCCCGTCAGCGGAACAAAAACAGCGGCCTGCCCCCGTCCCCACGCGGCGGCGGCGGCTGGCGGGGTCGCTGCTGCCAGCCGCACTGCCACACAGGGAGGAGAGGGGGGTGGTCTCCCTTTCATTTCCAGATTCCGTGTTTTTTTTTTTAAAAAGCTGTGTTTCCAGTACGCGAGGAAGGTGTGTGTGTGTGTGTATCTGATGGGTCTGGGGACAAGGGTTTTCTGAAGTGTAGCTTTTTTTCCCCTCCCTAACGCAGGTACCATTACAGCGTCAGGACTAAGACTGTTGAAGGGCAGGCGCCAGAGAGATCAGCTTCTCTTTAGGAGCTCTCCAGAAGGAGCTCTTTGTCCACGCTGGGCTACCGGAGCAGGATTTCTGGCCAGCCTTTTGGATTCTTAGGCACTTTTTGTAAAAACGCTGGAGCAAAATCCAAACTGCAGCAAAACTGAGCTTTGAATCCCCCTGAGCAATAACAGCGCCACCCCACTTCGCTGCCTTAAATAGGCCATCACTCCTGCCCCCCCCCCCAGCTGCTCCTGACAGCCCGAGCACCCCTCCCCTCCCCCCGCCAGGGGGGCACACTGCAGCCGGATGGGGATTCAGTTCAGTGGAGACAGAGCCCTGCGCCCCCCCCAGCTCCGAGCTCAACGGAGCTCCTGCGAGGGTGGAAACAGCCTACAAGCTCCGCTGGGAGTAGAAAACGGACCAGCTCCCCCAGGACTCTCGCTCCCTCCAGCTCTGCCACATCCGATCGGCTTGTCCACGATGAGCATCAAGCCCCCCAGCCCAACACTCTCCCCCTCCCCTGCACGCCCCCGGCGCCCCCCGCCCCTCCTGTGAAAGCCACTCCGATCTCCTCCAGCTGCCCCCCCTCATCAGACCCATCACAGAGTCCTGCGCAGACGGTGGGCTGACAATGGAGGGGGGAGTGGGGACACAGCCAGCAGCAGGCGCGACCCGCGACCCGCTCCTACACAGACTGATTGAATTACGCTGCGCCCGCCCCCTCCGCGGGGCAAAACCCCGGGCCTTAACCAGCTGCGCTGGCACGGCCAGCCCTGCC